GCTTGTGCCTGGGGTACAAGCGGTGCATGTGTTTTCGGGGTACCTAGCTGGGGGCATTGATTCGCGAATTGCCGGAAAATCCGGTACAACTTGTCTAAACTCTAGCACTGTAGTAAGAACTGGAAGATGGAATGTGAGGAAATAGAACTGATTGCTCGACTCCTGGTTGAAAGTAGAACGGGTGCTTACATAGAATGGCTAGATAATAAATCAATACGGCTATTAATAATAACATAAATAAGGACTCACCGTTAGTATTGCTTTATGCAAAAAGGAAACCAGCAAACCATAAAGCTCATCATATCCTTTGGAGTCGAGAAATTATTCCCACTGGTCGGATAAGTTTTGCGAGTACATTGTGTACTCAGGGTTTATTTACCCCTGTTGTAAGTAACACATGAGGAGTACCTTTTTGTGGAGGATTCATCTGGTGGGCACAGATGGATCCTTGTTCTTTATCACTAGGTGTTTATTTCGATTTCCGCTGTTTAATATTCCGCACTCTAACATTTGGCAATGTAATAATGAATTTCTCATAACTCTGAATGTATGAAATGGATTAAGTATTGTAACTCGTTCTCATTATTGGATCATTGGGAAAAATGTGGATCTTTCGGGTTCTCCCTTGGGGTGTGCCCGACGGATACCACCCGCTGTAGCTGGATTTTGGGGCGCTTAGTGTCTGGTGAGAGACGAGCGCCTCCGTAAGTATGTTATTTCGGGCGGTTCTGCCACAGACCCGGCGATCCTGAAGGCCTTCGGCTCTCTCTCTCTCTCGTTCTTCTTTTTCCTCTGTTGTAACCCATGCTTTTTCTTGGCATATAAAAGGGAAAGCATGGCGTCCCATAAGGGGCATCACAACACATCACATAGATTCAGGCTAGATCCGATCAAACCATGACGAACCCATCGAATCCCGAACACACGGCTGAGTAGTAACCGAGCTCTCTCAGCACCCGTTCACTTCTTTCACCAGAGACTTGGGACCTGTCCCTCTCTCGCCCGTTTGTAACCCCTAATACGAATTTTCAGTGCTAGTAACACGAGCAGCAGCAATGAACTGGACGTAGGGACATTCTGCCCGAACCAGTATAAACCTCGTGTCCTCTAAGCACACCATCCGAGCAAGACGCGCAATATTAGAAATTTACTTGTCAGTGACAACTCGAAACACCGACAGACCTCCTCTATTTGTTTTTTTTTCTTGCCCATCCATCTAAGCTCCGACAAAGCATCAGTGTATAGTAAAATTGAGACATGGAGTAGTGACTGATGCTGTACACAGGCATCCGATTTGCAGTGGGAGTCAGCAACCAGTTGGACCAGGGAAATGCGCAAAGATGCAGTTTGTATTTATGCTAATTGGTGGTTGAATTGTGAGGTATGATTGAATTACAATGATTTTCTACACCTTTCAGTTTCATTCGACGAAATTGGCCAAATCTGTTGTCATCTTGATGTGTGAAGAATGGTTCTACTGTCCTGTTCGTGTGGGGAACCTAATATTTTTGGGTGACCCAGGAGTTCTTCGCAACATGTGTAAATTACAATTGCATATATGCTAGGAATTCTTGAGAATATATGGTCCTATTTTCACAACTTTTAATTCTACCATGACCTGCTAGATAAAGCCAATGGTTTTTTGGTGCGCTCCACCATAACCTTCTTCTGAAAATTTCTTCTTCATAGTCATACATGTTTAGAGTTCTTTTAGCTTCGTGAAATAACACATTATACATTGCTGGTGCATATAGATGTACGCCTGCATCATCGACTGAGCATGAGTGCGGGGCTATATTTATTAGAAATTTTTTACAATAATTGGGGAAAAATTCGATGGCTGACATCGACCGAGAGCGGCCAATCCGACGGCAACAAAGGTAGGAGGCAACGGGAGGCAATGGGACGGAGGCAACGGAAGGCGATTGCTATGTCTATGATCGGTGGGCCATATGTGCAAAAATCGTCTTCCATTGCCTCCGCAAATGTGGGAATTAGGACTGGGCGGTAATTCCATTCTCGTAGTTTTTTTTTTGATAAAGGGTAAAACGGTAACTCTATAAATGCAAAAATAATATTTTGAGTAGTATAGTTAGGATGGATAATACAATTAGTATAGTTAGTTAAATGAATATGTCGTTTACTTCTTCTAGCTTCCACCGCCGCCGTCCTGCGAGCCGCCGCCGCCGCCGATGGGAGGAGGCCGGGTGCAGGGCAACGGGCCACCCCTACCCCTTGTTCCTCCTCGCCGTCATCCTCTCGGGCGTCGCCCTCCTCCTCGCCGTACTCCGCTCGGGCGCCGCCCTCGGCGTTAGCCCATGGTGGAGCAAGAGGAGGCAGGAGAGGATTGGGGCCATGAAACCTAGATCCAAGCGCGCCATGGTAACAACGCTGCTTGACAGGGAGGCTTCCACGCCGTCGCCGCTGCCAGCCTGCCACCATGAGATTATGCACAGCGACCCTGATCCAGATCCAGTTGCATCAAATTGGTCCAAAGGGACAAAAAAATGTAGAAAAGGTTAGAAAAATTGAGCTATCCTATTGTGAATTTGTATTAGAAATCATGAAATGGGTACGTCCATTCACAGGCACAGATTGATTTCATCTACTTTTAGTTACCATCATCTATTAAATTTTTATGTATGATATTGGACATCTTTAGGGCTAGAATATATTGTTATTTTGCCACATAATTATGTATTGTTTTTATATAGTTGCCACATTATTATGTGGCAAGAGATTGTTAAGTTTAAATACATCAAAGAGGATTCTATCTGTACTGTGAAACACAGACAGTCAGATTCTCCCATTTGGGCTGACTTACTCAAGGTCAGGAAAATTTACTTGCAGGTAGGAAGTTAAAAATCATGAATGGGCAAAAGACACTCTTTTGGAAAGATATTTGGCTGTATGATCAACCTTTGTGTGTGCTTTTTCCTGATTTATTTGCCATGTGTCAACAGCTTGATATTGCTGTATCTCAAGTTAAATTCAATCCCAGTCATTAACTTTCTCTAGGTGGCTGGTAGATGAATGGAGAGTGAATTGGGAGAAAATTCTTTTAGATGTTGCCAATGTTCAACTTTGTGAAGGTGCTGATATAACTACCTGGAAATTTGTGTGTCATGGGAATTTTACTGTTAAATCTGTTTTACAATGCTCTAACTCATAATGATAATCTTGGTCTCTATCATAAAAAAGTGTGGAAAGGAAAATCCCTGCTAAGATTAAAATCTTTCTGTGGATGATCTTAAACAATGCCATTCTGACTAAGGACAACATGATAAAGAGAAATTGGCAGGGTGATCCCTCATGCTACTTCTGTAATCAAACTGAAACTGCCAATCATCTTTTATTCCAATGTAGTGTTGCAAAAGCAGTTTGGGCAATCATTGCCATTAGTTTGGGGGTTAACAATGATCCTAGATCTCTGGAACAATGATGGGTTTAGTGTGAACATTGGCTTCCTTTTGGTAAAAAAGGCTATCTGGAAAACTCGTAATAAAATGTATTTCAAAGACATATGTTCGTGGATCCCGCCTATATAGTATGCTATGCATGTGCCCTCATGAGTGACTCGGCAGGTCTCTATCTGAATGATGATAAAGAAGCATTGGTGGCTGGCGTTAATACGATGTTGAAGATTGCTATGCAAAACGGTGACAAAGAAGCAAAGCAGAAATCGATGATCGATCGAAGTTATTGGAAGACAACGGTGGGAGCAGTGGTGCAACCTGAAGGGTAAAAAGCTAATCTGTGCCGAGGCTTTTTTTCATGGCATCGACCTTCTTTTGTGAAGTAGTTGATCTACGCTTTTCACGACTCGAGAGATGACTACAAAGATAGCGAACGTTAGAGCTCCAAGATGCTTATGTTATCCTTTAATTAGCAACGGCTTCTGAACTTGTAGGATAAGTACTGTTCCCCCACAGCATATCCATGGTCTCACCAGCTTTGGATTGTTGTTTAGTCAAAAATCAAAACATGACCTTTGTTTTTTTTTTTGAAATCTTTGCTTTTTTATATTAATAATAAGAAGAAAGGGAGTCTAAGAAGAGTATAAGACTTATACAAGCCCATTGGGGCAGGGTTAAATACATGGACCATGCCAAGTAAACAAAAAGGAAAACGACCACCAACTTATACACAAAATGCCACTGCTGTATTAGCTTCCATACTCCACAAGATGGTCTCATCCCTTGTATCTTGCATAATGACATTGAAATTAGGAGAGGTCACCTCACAGAAGCATCCATTACTGTGCTTCCATAACCACCAAGCAACCAAAATTACTAATGAGTTGAAGCCTTTGCAGTAGGGTCCTTTTGCAGTATTGCTTTACACTTAGCACGAAGGTTGAAGCCACCACTCAGTTAAAATAACATCATCTGGCCGTGGTGTTTGTTTCTGAAATGTGAAATGATACCAAGGTCTTCTTGAAACTGAAAATCCCTGTTCTTTATCACTACATTACGTTTGAAATCTGAAACCGCGTGCTTAATCCAAGTAACATTGAAGTTGAAGATAGATGTGTTACCTTGACAGGAAGGAAGTTAAAATACAAGAAGAGCATGTGATTATTTGCACCTACTTCTCGCACCACCGGACTTGATACTCAGAGATTTTTTCTGTTATTATCATTAAACTCTATTCCTCCACCGACGGAAATACATCTGATCATATATCATAGCAAGTATTGACGTAAAAATCTATTGGCGTAAAATCTATATATAGCATTCCTCATTAAAAAACATCAAATGAGTTCAGTACAACAATGCGATTCTAGATCCTGAACTACGCCTTTGAGGTGAATAACTTACACAATGATCAGAAACTACCGATGAAATCTTTTTGGCTCTACAGCATCTAATGTTCCTCGACACCCTACGTAGCCTCATCTTTTGGTCGTCAAATAAAAACTGGGAAAATTTCAGCAACCAAAATTTATCCTCAAACTGCCTTCTTGTAGTATATGCGTAATGCATCTTTCCGACCTGTTTCTATGGATTCTGGTACTCACAACTCGTCATGAGATTCAGGTTCTGAATCGCTAGTGTTGGCTGATGCAGACTGATCCTCTTAGATTCCTGAGACGTTTCGGTGTATTCACCCTCGTTGGGTGCAGATTCCGAAGAGGTGGTTTTCTCCTTGCTAGCAGGTTCTTCCTCCTTTGCTGTTGTCTTCTCAACCTTGGGTTTTGGTTTTGGAATCCTATTGACACTTGAGACCTGCACAATGAAAGAGCACACATTATACTTACTACCATGAGTAGTATGCATAACTTTTTATAGGGCGCTCTACCAAATTACTAACCTTATCTTGCAAGTCCAGAACTTTCTCATAAACTTCTTCAGATATGAAAACTGGTGGGCTATAGATAGGGTACTGCAAAATTTTCAACGGGAGTTAGCCACCTTTACAAGACAATAAAAAAAAAAAAAGCAAGTCGACTCGAAAGGTATACTTTTCCTGCAGGTTTTCCTTCTCCTCCAACCAAGCTTTCACTTTCTTCTGCTTCACTTACAACCTAGAACCGAGCATTACACGACCAACAAAATGAGCATTACACATAATCACAAAGTCAACTTCATTAAGCTCACAGGTTTACCTCATCTACTCTCTTTTGGGGAGCCATGGTTTGTTTGTGTCCCGCCTCTTGACAATCTGAAAAACCAAACGCAGACCTTTTTAGAACAGAATAACACATCAACCATGCATTACATCGGTTGAAACAGCAGTTATCTTGAAAGATTCACAACATGGATAAAATGGATGTAAAACAACGGTTTTGTCCCTCATTGTGGAATTCATGTATAGTAAATTTAGCCTTTTTCCCCGCTTCCACGAAATTTTTGATCAATCCTTTTTCGTGCAAGAAGATACCGTGGTCCGACACGTCCTCCTCATCACTCCAGATCCTCGACACCCATTCAAGCATCTACGGATCTCATGGCTCCAAAGATTTGCTGCAAAGACCACGCCAATAGGTCGTCGATGCCACCGACAGCGTGATTTAGGCACGGAGAGACATTGTTCTTGCAATTCTTGTACGTATACTTATTGCATCGGCCGTCGTCAGGGCAGAATTCATGATTGCACACCTGAAATATAATGGATCATATAAAAGAGCCAATGCATCTATCCCTCGTGGAACCAGACCAAACACTCATTAGCACTTGAAAAAAAATTGCATAGAAATATGCATGCATGAGCTATGGACTCGATTGCATAGAAACAAACAGGCATAGGTGTTTCCAATTCAACTACAAACGGATCTCTAAAAATTCGTCATTCCACAGACATACCTCGTTGGGTGACCTGGGCCTTTTGATAGGAAGATCACATCCTCCGTTCACGCAAGCATTGCGACGACCGTGATTCCAGTTCCAGCAGTTGCAGCAGCTGAAGCCGTCTCTCCCTCTCGGGGAGAGGCATGGAGAGACTCCATTCACGCAGTTCACGCAGTCAGGGGCCAAGCACCTTTCGGCGCTCTTCTTCAGAGCCGTGGATTTTCCCGTCTTCATCTTCTTTTCAGCCGATGATTTTCCTGGATTCATCTCTAGACGGCGTGGATGTGGCCGGCGACGCGGTGAAGGCGGAGATCAGCGGCGGCGGCGTGTCGAGCTCCGGCCGGCGGCGGGCTAGGGCTAGGGCTAAGGCTACGGCTCCGAGCGGCCCCTTTAGGGTTCTAAGGTGGCGGCGCGGTGCTCTGGGCATACTGTTTATAGGGGCGGGCGCGGGGAACCTCGGGGGCCACGATCGAGGGGATCGAGCGGCGGTGGCTATGCCCGGTTGATGCGGCGTAGCGGGGCACGTTCGATGGAGGGGAGGGGTAGTTGGCTTTGGCCCAGAGGCATATCGCCGGGAGTTGGGGAGAAGTTGCCGCTCTGTGTTCGTCTCCAGGGAAGGAGGCGACATGGTGCGTGAAGCCGCTGACACGCGGGCCCTGCAAGGCAGCGACAGGGGCGCGGGCACAGGGCGCTGGGCCACGTCGCCTGTTGTTGCGGGGCTTGGCTGTTGTTGCTGAGGGCTGCGGTTGGTTTGCTGGGCCGGGTAGTGGGCTGTGGCCCAGAACGAAAATAGAGGGGAGTGCGAGAGCGGTGGAGAAGGAAGTCAGCTACATGCCTGGTTTAGTCCCACCTCGCTTGCATATCATTTAAAAGCACAAACTTAAAAAGCGCGAGCAAACCAGCCGATTCAACACACATTACACCGCCTATGCTCTTAAACGCTTGTTACCGTGTAATAATTGGGCGGCGCGCTGGTTGGGCTCCTCGGAGGTCGAGCCTGGTTGGGCTCCTTGGAGGTTGAGCTTGACCTAGCCGTGGCGGCCCTTAGCACCAATTTTTTTTCAAACCATCCATTTTGCAATTGAAGTCCCTCTTGAAAACCTTTTTTTTTCAAACCATTTATTTTGTAATTGAATTTTTTTGTATCCTCCATTACTGATTTGTAATATAAAGCCGGACCTTAAAATAAAGAAACTCGGATTCACACATAAAAACACGTGGATAGAGTGATCGGTTCAACCTACAAGTGCACTCGGATGACACATCGAGTGATCGGTTCACTTCCTATCATGTTAGGTTAACGGTCTATCAGTCCACCGATCAAACGAGCCAGCGAATGTAGGTTCAAGATACTTGTCATCCTCGAGCACTAGTCTAGCTACTCGGAGGAGACATGAGAGTGATCGGTTGACTTTGTTATCGTTCTATTAGTCTCATTAGTCCACTCGGACGACACGTGATATTGACGGATTAGTTTGTATCATGTTAAGGCTAGTGGTTCACTCTGTCGAGACATGAGAGTGATTGACCTAGCCGCTGCACCTTTTTAGCACAATTTTTTTTCTTCAAACCATCCATTTTGCAATTGAAGTCCCTCTTGAAAACCTTTTTTTTCAAACCATTTATTTTGTAATTGAATTTTTTTTGTATCTTCCAGTACTGATTTGTAATATAAAGCCGGACCTTCAAATAAAGAAACTCGGATTCACACATAAAAAACACGTGGATAGAGTGATCGGTTCAACCTATAAGTGCACTCGGATGACACATAAGAGTGATCGGTTCACTTCCTATCATGTTAGGTTAACAGTCTATCAGTACACTGATCAAACGAGCTACAAGAATGTAGGTTCAGTACTTGTCGTCCTATGAGCACTAGTCTAGCTACTCAGAGGAGACATGAGAGTGATCGGTTGACTTTGTTATCGTGCTATTAGCCTGTTAGTCCACTCGGACGACACGTGATAGTGACGGATTAATTTGTATCATGTTAAGGCTAGTGGTTCACTCTGTCGAGACATGAGAGTGATTGACCTAGCCGTTGCCTGCCCCTTAGCACAATTTTTTTTCAAACCATCCATTTTGCAATTGAAGTCCCTCTTGAAAACCTTTTTTTCAAACCATTTATTTTGTAATTGAATTTTTTTTGTATCCTCCATTACTGATTTGTAATATAAAGCCGGACCTTAAAATAAAGAAACTCGGATTCACACATAAAATACACGTGGATAGAGTGATCGGTTCAACCTACAAGTGCACTCGGATGACACATAAGAGTGATCGGTTCACTTCCTTTCATGTTAGGTTAACGGTATATCAGTCCACCGATCAAACGAGCCATGAGAATGTGTAGGTTCAGTACCATTTATTTTGTAATTGATTTTTTTTGTTAAGGCTAGTGGTTCACTCACGAGACATGAGAGTGATTGATTCACTTCCATTCACTTTAGGCCTTTTACTCCACTCAGTCAGTACGTGCAAACTACAATGGTTTGCAAAAAAAAAATTAAAATCAATGGTTTGCAACAAAAAAAATTGGTGCCATGGGCGCGACATACTAGGTCAGTTTCGACCACAAATAGGGCCCTACCAGTTGCGCCGCCCAATTAGCCCGTTATATAGCTGACTCCCGGTCAAGCCCGGCGCGCGTGGCCCAAGGCCCACTATGCCCTCGCGCCCGATTCGCCATGCTTCGGTACGCCAAACATGGGGTAATCGAAACGGGTTTGAAGCCACGATCTCCGCTGCGTAATTATAGGATCGTAGCCGCCACGTTCCCAGCGTAGTTGCTCTTTCTCTACATCCTTGATTTCTGTCTCGATTTCTCCGGCGAACAACGACAACATCACCCGGAATCGGCACTGGCACCATGGACACGGCAGGAGATGGAGAGCAGTCCCCACGCATCTCCGATCAACATGGGTACAGGAATGATACATCCCTCCTTCAGTTTAATGAGCACAGGGTTTTTGTACGGCCAAGCTTCACCAGTGCGTCGTGCACGTTGGCCATGGTCGGGACGAGCTGCCCGCTCAGGTTCTTGGCCTCCTCGAACACCTCATTCCCCACGGCCACGCCGTGGATCCGCGTCGCCGGGTAGTACGCCACGCGTTTCTCTGCACCCACCGTGGCGCGCGATCGATACTTCGCGACTATAGCTGCGTCATGGGGTAGTACGCCGCCACGCTTCTTGCACCACCGAAGCCATGTCGGGCAGGTCATTCCCCAACCGGCCGTAGCTCACGCCCACCATGCCAAAGATCTACATTGTACACAATAAAAAACAGTTAGCATAGCGCTAGATTGGACCTGGAAAAATAAACAACAGTCTGAGTGAACGCGTTACCTGCAAGGGATATACTTTCTTTTTCTAACAGAGGGGTCAGCACGCTGCTTTTTGGGAAATAACATTAGAACATCACCATGAGTCCTGCTCTAGGAACGCACACCTCCAGCAGCATCTCCAATTATTTTAGTCTTCTTTTGTGGCCTTCCCTCCTCTAGTACCTGCAAGTTCTAATAGGTTATTAAGCATGAATTTTTTTCAGTTTACAACATAAGCAATGGTTCAGTTCACATCACTTTGATAGTATATTGGTACTTGCCTCTTTGCCTTTCTCCATAATGCTTCTCTCCATAATCAGTACAAAATTAAAAAAATGCCTGCATCAGTACAAAATTGTAAGAGTAGCCGGTAGCCACCTTGCCTTGTCTTAGTTTCAAATCTTTTGAGAGGTCAGAATGAAGCTTATACTAAAAGATTTCTTATGCACAAAATCTGATGTAGATGGCAATCATAGAAGGAGTACTACTACAGGGAAGCGAGATCTGACCAGCAACAAGGTAATCTCAGTATCCAGTTTTAGTTCTTGTGTATGTTGCCTATTCATTTTTACCAACTTATCATCACCAACTGGCTGCTGCAGAAAGTTGATATGCATGTAACACACTCGCCTACGAGACTATTTAACGTCATAGCAGCCTTAAAGGCATCGCAACCACACATTGACGCTATTGAGGCTATGGGATTTGGGGGTCTGATTCGAATGCCAAATATTAGTCTTAGGAAAGGCATGATACAGGACATTGCAGACACATACCAAGTTAGCAACCGAGGATTCAATTTATGTGGTCAAGTAGTTACTATTCATCCAGATGATGTCCAAAATATAATGGCACTCCGGATTACAGGCATTGATGTAGATGAATATATAAATGAAAATATGAAGAGTAAAGATGGAAGTAGGCAGAGTGAATTATTCAATAGGTATGCCAATGATAAACACAAGCTCGACCTAACATGGCTGGAAAAGATGCTTGATAAAGAACGACCTGCGGATGATGA